TAGACCTGCTGCTTGGGGGTGCAGCAACCCCACCACTTCACTAGGTCGCCACAACCAAGAAATTATAGTTCTAACTTTATATAGTATAAAAAAAGATGTAAATAAAATATTCGTTTATTATCAAAAATTTACTAGTATAGGAAATCCTAATCATTGTTATAACTTTAGTGTAAATTATCATTAAGGTTGAAAAAATCAAATATAAAACATTCACATATTATATTTCAGTATTAAAAAAAATTAAAAAGAATGACCATAACAATTTATTATCAGAAATTTGCTAGGATAAGGGTAGCACTAATTAAACATTTGACAATAGTTATTCTTTAAGCAATTAAAGCTAAAAAGAATAAATATGAAGTATTCATTGGACTTATTTTTTTTATCAAGAGATTTTTTGTCTACACAATCGTGGTATATATTTAAATTTTATCTTATTTTTTTTGTTTTATGTACAATTTTTACTTCATTTAACGAAATGAATTATACTTACAAAAATTACAGTTATACTATCGTGTTTAAACTTGATGTAATCGCTTATATGGAAAAAACATCTAATCATCATGCATCAATATTTTACAAAGTTAACCAAAGGCGGGTTCAAGAATAGAGACAACAAAAGTCTAAACTTGAGGCTCTTAAAGAAAATAAAGATATAAATATAGATTAAACACATGTCCTTAGTGGTCATGGTCAAAAAGCATTATATCCTGGGTTAGAAAAAGAATTGGTAGATTATATTAAAAAAAAGAGAAAAAAAAAACTTGTAATTACAACATCCATGATTAGGAAAAAGGCAAAGGAGTTAAGAAGAACCCTAGATATTAGGGATGCCAAATTTTCACATAGCTGGTGTGATCATTTTAGAAAATGATATGGTTTGGTGAAATATACTCGAACACAAATTGTGCAAAAATTTTCTAAAAATATGCCTTTAGTTATTAGAGTTTTTCTTGAAGTTTTACGTGAAAAAACAAATATTATTGAAAAACAATTTATTATCTCTTTTGATGAAATACTTATGTGGTTTGACATGCCTCAGAACTCGACAATAGATTTTCAAAGTATTCGTGAAATACTAATCAAGACCACAGAAAGTGATAAATTGCATTTTACTGTAGTTTTAAGCTACATAGCTTCTGGTGTAAAACTTCTGTCTACGGTGATATTTAAATTAAAAAAAAAAGCCCAGAGACATATTTTCACAAGATATTATTATTGCAGCAGCACCTTATACAAATATGAAAGGTGATCTAATGATTTCTATCTATATACCACAAGCTATTCGATCAAGACCAAATAGTTTTTTTAAAAGTAAGGATATTATATTTGTTGATAATCATCGAAGTCATGTCCATAATGATATAAAAAAAGCATTTAAAGCAGAGGGGCTAGATCTTTTAGAAATACCTGGAGAAACAACTAGTGTTTTACAACTACCAGACATTTCAGTTAACAAGCTATTTAAAAATGGAGTAAGACAAAAATAGGAATACTAGATTGATGAAGAAAAAAAAGTACTTACTAAAAATAGAAATCATAAAAAAGCCTCATATAAACTTGTCTGTGAATAGGTGTCTAAAACCTGGAAGGAGATTAGTCTTAATATTTTAGTTAGGACTTTTAAAGCAGCTTGACTTATGCTTAATTCAGATAGTAGTAAAAATAATAAAATGTCTCAATGTCTTCAGGCATTTGTTCAAGCTGTCACTAAAAACTGGACAAATGAATTGAATATAAATAAGTTATTGGATGTGCTTCTAGAAGATGAAAATGAAAGCATAATGGATGTGAAAAATCAAACTGACAATGAAGAAAATACCACTAATGAAACTAATAATGAAAATACAATGGATTATAAATATGTAATGAATTTGATGAAAGAATGATAGAATAATAATAAAATAATATAAATTGTTAAATTAGAAAAAAATTAATTAAATAAAAAAAATAATTAATTTATTAATTTAAAATTTATACTTATCTCAATATTTCTACTGTAGTATACAGTATAGTAATCAGATTTTATTTTCTTGTGATGTGCATTGGACGGTTCAAGCTATTAATTGTTTGCTATTCTTGTTCTCTGTCTCTAAAGAGTTTGAGAACTTATTAATATTTCATATTTTTGCTTTTTTTTTTTTTTCTAACCCAGAATATTTATTAGACATAGATTTGTTTAGCTGTAAAGAGTTCATTCGGGTTTTTAGATATTAAGTGAGCTGATTTGAAATAAATTCTCATAAAAACTTTAATTTTTGCTTAAAAAATGGTTTATAATACATTATGACATAATTATGTAATTATGATTTGACTGTGTAGAAGATCATTGTCAAAAGAAGTTTGTTTAAACTTTAAAAAGTTGCTGAACCTGATAAACATAATTGAACAACACTTTGCCAGAAATATAATTATTGTGAAAACTGCATTGATTTAGTTGATAAATTAAAAGACCATTTATTAAACTGTAAAAGAAACTTCCAAGAAATATATAATTTATTCAAAACTCAAAAAATGTGATTCTGGTTCTTCAAATAATTCATTCGAAAAGATATAGCGTCTTTTTTTAAAAAAATTTCTTAGCTTAAAATAAACTTAATCAAAAAGCAATATTTTCATTAAAGCAAAATTTTATCCCAGGCTTCGATGTTTTAAGAAAGGTTTAAACAATAAAAAAATATTTAAAAAAACGTTTAAAAAACTAAAAACGTTTTTATACCAACCTTTGTTATTTGATTATATAGTATACTATATATAGTACGCGCTATTTCGAGACACATATGGGCATTATTTTGAAACCCAGTATGCTATTTTTAGGAAATACAATTTTCAAAATAATGACCATGATCGTTATTTTGCAGTAATACAGTATAAATATTGCAACACAAAAATTGAAAATAATAAACATTGGCTTATATGCTCAACTAATTTTATTATACTAATCTAACTTCTTATTAATATTACTAATAGCTTTCTCTGAAAATATAGTCTCTCACCAACTAATATTAACAACTTCGTTCAAGCATTTATCCATATATATATAACTAACTATACACCAATTAGTATATTCACAGAAGATACCTTAACCCTTACTTGTAATTACAACAATGCTATCCACTTAGCTTCAGAGTTATATTATACAATTATAACCAATATACATAAATCAATATAGATACCAAGTAGAATTGTAATGAACAACAATAACAATCAAAATAATACCAATACTACTACCTTTTATAATCAATATATAACAATCTCCAATTCTATCTCTAACTTCAATATAAATAGCAAATTCTACTTCTAACAGAACTTCTATATTAATTTTAACACCTCACTACAACATATTCTCTACTTATAGTTTAGAGATCTTTCAACCTACCTAGCTAAGGTTAAGGTCTAGAGTAAAGTAGCTTCATTCCTACTTCCTTCAAAAAGTTATATAAACTTTGTAAAAATCTGTATAATAAATAATAAAAGAACTAAGGAAAATACCTTACTTAAAAAAAAATAAAATAAAATAAAAAAAAAATAAAATTTATTTAATAATATATATTTACAATTTCTAATACTTATTAAAAGTATTATAAAATTAATTTTAATATAATTTTTTTGCTTTGATTTTTATTTAAACAATAATTAGCAATACAAATTTTTGTACATCAGTAAATTTATATGTGCAAAATATTGCGCAAAAATTTGCGATACTCAAAAATAATGCAAAAATATGCAAAATATATCGAAAACTTTCGCAAAATCAAAATTTTGAAATATTTTGCACAATAATTCGCAAAATATTTCGAAAACTTTCGAAAACTCAAAATTGAAATAATTCGCAAAATATTTCGCAATAGTTC